TTTTTGTGCAATTGTGGAAAGCTGAAACTAACGGTCGCATAACATACAAGTCGTGGAAATATCGTTTTTTTTCGTTAAAACAACGGAGTCATTGACGTAGAATAATAGAAGGTAAATAATAAAATTACAGTGAAAATAAAACTTATGTTAACACTTAAGAAGATGCCTCTGAAAGAACAAAAACGATGAATTATCTTCGTCACCTCACGGAACATTCAAATTTCGCCGCTAACTAAAATAACAAAGCTGACGCCTGCGATCTACGAGCTATCTGTTTCCATTTATCTCGGCATGCCGAGAACGAAAACAAATCTCGTAAGAGGTGACTTTGGTTAGCCTGTGAACAGACGGACTTATGAGAATTATGATGGTGCAAACAAAATGCAAATTGAACAATGCTGAGTTATTCTTCAAACTGTTCTATATTCAGAGGAAGGAAATTGGAAACAAAAAGTACTACGAAGAAACAAGAGAACTTGAAAAATAGCAAAGTGAGATCTCACCTGAATATTGACGTTAGAAAGGAGGAGGAAGACTCGTGGCTGAATGCAATAAAAACCAAAATTGCGTTCGTAAAAGGCCGACGGAATTTTACTGAGCAGCAAGAGTACAACAGCAGCCAATGTTCTCCTTACCGTATCTCTTAAACATAAGCATAAGCACAAGGAATGGAACTTTTTCCATTTTCTTATGCTTATGCTTATGCTTATGCTTATGTTGTGAATACTTGAGTGTGAACGGGGCATACATAAGCATAAGCGTAAGCATAAAGGGTTTTCTTGTCAGCGGAATACACAAAAATAAAATCCNAGATAGTTGCTTGCTTTGCACGACACCAAAATATTACGTTTGATCATCGTTTGATCCGTGATTGGTGCTTGAATCCTTGCTTGTAGCGGTTCGTTGTTTGTTCGTCACGCAATGCTGTCAGCCCCTACTAAGGCTCCGTAATGCTTGGAACCACAGGGAGTACACAATCTTGTTGAGCGGGAAGAGACCAAATTAAGAAATGAAAAGAATGAATTGTTAACCATCGCCCCACATGCCCTGCGTAAATACGGTAACGCCAAACTCGTACTTAGGTCTTTTCGCGCTGTGCAATTATTGTTGGTTTACATATAACACAGTGGGCTACTCTCTGGGAAATGGGAGGTGGCCGCCTAATAGGGGTTGGCCGTTCAATAGAGGTTGATGTACCTTGAATATTTTTTCACCATCGGTAATAAATTTCTTAGTGAACATGGAGTCAATTCATGACAATCATTATAGACGTCATCCTCGGAGACCCAGGGGCAGTTAATGGGGGCGGGGAAAAGTCTAAACTGGTAAGTAAAAAGTTCTGGCGAAGAGCCGTTTAGAATTTTTCCCCGTCCCCACTGACTGCCCCTAGGTCTCCGATGTTGACGTCTATAATGATTGATGGCCACCTCCCATTTCCCGGGGGTAGCCCACTGTATTATATGTAAACCAAAAATAATTGCACAACGCGAAAAGACCTAAGTACGAGTTTAGCGTTGCAGTATTTACGCAGGGCATTTAGGTAGCGGTGGTCTGGTAAAAGATGACAACAGGGGCAATGGTTGAGAGCTGGTTCACACTTTGAGATAAGCATAAGCATAAGCATAAACATAAGCATAAGAAAAATATGTGAACCGGGGTTACATAAGCATAAGCATAAGCATAAGCATAAGCACAAGGAATGGAACTTTTTCCATTTTCTTATGTTTATACTTATGTTGTGAATACTTGAGTGTGAACCGGGCATACATAAGCATCAGGGTAAGCATAAAGAGTTTTCTTGTCAGCGGAATACACAAAAATAAAATCCAGGCCCGCTCTGTCAGAATCTGTCAGCTGAAAACATGGCGACGCAGGTGAACGAAAAGTTGGCGGAATCTGTCCGCAATTATCCTTGTTTGAACGACAAAAAATCGGCAGACTTTAATTCTTGTACAAGGTTATGATAATCGCCTTGTGTCTTTCTTTTAGTAAAAATGTCTCTTATCCAGACCTTTCTTTTTCTTCACACATATTTTTCGTATGCTTATGTTTATGCTTATGCTTATGTTTATGCTTATACTTATGCTTATGCTTATCTCAAAATGTGAACAAGCCCTAACGATTCATTCTTTTCATTTCTTAATTTAATCTAATAATAATTCCCGTTCTAATAATAATTCCCGTTCAACAAGATTGTATGCTCCCTGTGGTTCCAAGCCTTACGGAGCCTTACGTATTAGGATAGAAATCGTCCTACCCCTACCCCCTAAAATGGGATGACAGCATTGCGTGACGAACAAACAACGAACCGCTACAAGCAAGGATTCAAGCACCAATCACGGATCAAACGATGATCAAACGTAATATTTTGGTGTCGTGCAAAGCAAGCAACTATCTACAAATTACTTCGCCGTTTTTGACTTAGATGCAGTGGTGATCATATGTGTCGAAAGAGGGTCATAGATTCATGGTAT